CCTGCATAAACAGTGCCAGATTCTGATCCCTTTACTCATGTCGAGTAGTATTTAGTTCTGCAAGTAGTCCCATAAATGTAAGATATTACTCAACATGAGGGTATCAGAATCTGATTCAAAGTAGTTTATTTCCCCCAGAAGATCATAACATAGTTATAATGCAGATCATGCCCTTGCGGGGAGGAGGGCAGAATGACAGTGTCTCTTTTAAGATGAAAAAATGGCCTGTCTGATGAGTTAAAATGTTAAATTATTGCTCCACACCTTATTTTAAATTCCTTTTTACAAAAATATGTCAGGATCTTGATTCCAACACTATGTTTTTTGCACACATACATTTCTCCCATGGGGGTGTCAATGAGATTGCTGCCCATGTAGGGAGAGGAAAATATTAGAGAAGGAAATAGATCCATCGGGTGCATGAATTTGCCCTTAATGTGTTGCTTTTTGTAGCATGCCAGTATACTCTTATGATAAAATGGGTATTACTGCAAAGTGCTAAACATCTCTGCAATATCTCAGTTCAGAAGAGACCTTAATTAGAAATTGTGCAATTAAGATATAAGTCAAAACAGATACTTCCTTGCGAAAGTGCACTATCTGTATTAATGCAATGCTTAAGCTCCAGAACTTGAAGTTTTATGCTGAACGTTGCAAAACACACTAATCCATAACGAGGATACCCATACTGTGATCCCAGCAAACTAAGCTAACTTCCCATTATAGTGATGGGAACAAGAAGAGACCAAGATCTCCAATGTGTCAGACTGCTCTCCTGTCCTTTCAACACTTGTCTAAGGACGTACCCAAGGTTACACCATAAAGATACATTCTCCCAAGTTTTCCTTGGAAGGAGACAAGGATTCCTCTGTGTATTTAAGACACTTTTCTTCCTGCCTATTTAATAGGGGAAGGACAACTAAATTCAAATCACAGTTTCTTCTATTGCCTTACAAGCAACTTATCACCCTCTGTCTCTCCACTGAGAAGACTTGCTCTTTCACAGCTTCCACAGGTTTGGCTTCCTCAGGCAAAGGAGCACTTGAACAGTTTCACATCCTCAACATTTTTCAGAATAAATTTTTCAGTGGAATGCTTAGTCTTTTATTTTTCTCTTCCTTTTCCCTATTTTTAAATCTTTCAGATGAGCAGAAAATATATGCAGCCATCCAACTGTGTAGTTGTCACAGAATGAGAACTTATTTTTAGCCTGGATACACAGCATGCAGTTTTAGACTCAGTGTAAAACGTTGAGAGTTGGAAGGGGATGGAGAGAGCGTAGGGAAGTCAAACAACAAGTCATCAGAACTCATCAGGCTCTCAACTCCTCCATGCAGGCATGTCTACTGCCTACTCCTAGAGAAGAAAGCTATACGGAGCCATCATTTTCAAGTGTCAACATAGTGTAGGGTATCAGAGGGGTAGCCGTGTTAGTCTGGATCTGTAAAAAGCAACAGAGAGTCCTGTGGCACCTTTAAGACTAACAGACGTATTGGAGCATAAGCTTTCGTAGGTGAATACCCACTTCGTCAGACGCATGTAATGGAAATTTCCAGAGGCAGGTATAAATATGCAGGCAAGAATCAGTCTGGAGATAACAAGGTTAGTTCAATCAGGGAGGGTGAGGTCCTCTGCTAGCAGTTGAAGTGTGAACACCAAGGGAGGAGAAACTGCTTTTGTAGTTGGCTAGCCATTCACAGGCTTTGTTTAATCCTGAGCTGATGGTGTCAAATTTGCAAATGAAATGAAGTTCAGCAGTTTCTCTTTGGAGTCTGGTCCTGAAGTTTTTTTGCTGTAAGATGGCTACCTTTACATCTGCTATTGTGTGGCCAGGGAGGTTGAAGTGTTCTCCTACAGGTTTTTGTATATTGCCATTCCCGATATCTGACTTGTGTCCATTTATCCTTTTACGTAGTGACTGTCCAGTTTGGCCAATGTACATAGCAGAGGGGCATTGCTGGCACATGATGGCATATATAACATTGGTGGCCGTGCAGGTGAATGAACCGGTGATGTTGTAGCTGATCTGGTTAGGTCCTGTGATGGTGTTGCTGGTGTAGATATGTGGGCAGAGTTGGCATCGAGGTTTGTTGCATGGATTGGTTCCTGAGTTAGAGTTGTTATGGTGCGGTGTGTGGTTGCTGGTGAGAATATGCTTAAGGTTGGCGGGTTGTCTGTGGGCGAGGACTGGCCATAGTGTAGGGATAATTAGACAACCAGTTGGCAATGCTGGTCACACTGATAACATGTATCAAATGCAGCCCTCCAAATACAACACGTATGGACCTCTGGGGTTGGAGAAACAAGTTTCTTCATCAAGTGAGAAACCCAGCCCTCACCTCCATTACTACCAAGGTCCCACAATAGCAAAACCAGTGAGAGATTCTGCTGCACTGAGGGGAAAGGAGGAGGTGGCTCTAGACTAAGTGAATGGTACAGCGGGAGTGCATCCCCCTTACATAGCATATAGCCCAGCTTAGAGTGACACCCTACCTCGCCTTAGGAGAATGTGTGGGTAGGACATATATAGAGGGGAGGAGTGATGCCAGAAGATTTGCTGCTTTGTTGATCCCTCTTGCTGCTGAAAAAGGATCACATAGGGCTGTGTAGGCTACTCCAGGTACTAGATGGGAGTAGGCTCCATGGAGCCCTTTTGCAGTCATTCCACAATCTGGAGCAAGTCGATTCCTCCTCCTGCTCCACCCACCTCCCACACATGTCCCCAGTGCCCAGTCCAACTATATGGATTTGGTCTTAGGACAGGAGAGCAACTACATTAGAAAAAAAATGGGTGGAGCCAGGAGTGGAATGCATTAATTCTAAACACTTCTGGGACATAAACAAGAGGATAAGAAGTTGAGTGGGAGAGGCATGTTCCCTCTTACCCCTTCCTCCCCCCCAGTGATTTCACCCAGGCCCTAAAAGTTGAAGGAAAGTATGTATTTTAAAAAGTGACCTTTAGAATGACACTATGCGCGCAAAGGCAAGGACTAACAGAAGATGGTATCTAGGTGGTTAATATGCTGCCAGATCACGTGACGTTTTAACTCACTTTAAGGTTTCAGTGGGGGTCAGGATACAAATGCCCAGGAAGCCCCAAAGTGTCACTTGGCAAGCTGCTGCAGTAGGACACAGAAGAGAAGCTGCATTTTATCAGATAGCTTATCTACTGGTGACCAGAGAGTCAGGGGAAAGAACTAAGCTGCTCTCTCCAAGTCCCACAGATGACTTGTCAAAGGGCGGGGGAGTGGATCAGGGACCATTTGAGAAGAGAACATGCTATCATAAGTGGCCGGAAAATCAGAGTTAGGGGAGATTTAAACTGATCTCAGACCTGAGGAAAATGTTCCATTCCTGTTTAGTTCTTACTTTGCTGGAACTAGTTCACCTGAACCTCATTTTCAGAGGTGCTGAATCCTGACAGCTCCCATCCATTTCAATTGGCTTTGTGGATAGCCAGCACCTCTGAGAACCATGTTCAACATTACACGAACACACCTACTCATAAGGGACATCACAGTGATGGGTCACATTGGGTGGAGACACCAGGCATAGGAAAACAAACCCAGGACCCAACAGGGGAGAAGCCACGCCTAGCAGCAGGCACCAGGAAGAAGGCTCGAGCCCCACCTTGGGGCAGGGGCTACACAAACAAATGACAGCATGAAATATTGCTGTCAATAAAGAGAATGGAGTAGTTGTATTTGAAAATACACCTTGCATTAGTAACTTAATGAGAAAACTATGGATTTAGAGAACATTTGCCTTAAATGTGTTGAACTCTGGATTCACTATAGATACAATAAGACAGTTGACATATGTTAAATCAACATTAGCAACGAGGAGCCTATTGATTAACCTCTATTAATATGTTTTAGAGTAGGTGCTCTCCGAGTCAGAGACTGTGCCTCATTTTACCTTTGTGTGGCTATAAGCCATCTTTGCGCACACACACCCCTCACCCACATAACGGGTGCAGGCTAAATGTCCATACACACACACACCATGAGCAGGGAAAAACTAAACGGTAGATTGTAAATCTGTGTCACAATCAGTTTCCTAGACTGCTCCTAGGACAGGGTAGGCACAGTTTAGCCCTATGCAATAGAGCAGGGGTCGGCAACGTTTGGCACGCAGCTCGCCAGGGTAAGCACCCTAGCGGGCCGGGCCAGTTTATTTTCCTGCTGACGTGGCAGGTTCGGCCGATCGCGGCCCCCACTGGCTGTGGTTCACCGTCCCGGGCCAATGGGGGCGGCGAGAAGTGGCGCGGGCGAGGGATGTGCTGGCCACGGCTTCCCGCCGTCCCCATTGGCCCAGGACGGTGAACCGCGGCCAGTGGGGGCCGTGATCGACCGAACTTGCCGCGTCAGCAGGTAAATAAACTGGCCCGGCCCCCCAGGGTGCTTACCCTGGCGAGTCGCGTGCCAAACGTTGCCGACCCCTGGAATAGAGAATCAAGTACATGGGGTTTCAGTGTTAGAAACTGTATCTAGAACATAAGTAATTTATAAATATTAAAGATGTGGTACATCTGCTTTCAGCAGGTACCAGATAATGTATCCACTAAGTGCTGAATATAAATCTCAGATAACCGCAGGGAGTGGTGTGAGGTGGATTGCAGCAGATGAGAATGGTAATGGAGCTGCCAGTTTATGTAGCCATTTTTCATACTTCTTTGTTGCTCCAATAAAAAAGAGCCAAATCCAGCAGTTTTTACTCAGGCAGAACTCCAATTAACTTCAAAGTGTCATTAATATTTTCTTTTGATTTCAGTACACGTTTTGCCTCCATATTCCCATCAAATTTTGCAGAATTTGGCCACAGATTAGTGAGAGTTTGAATCCAACACAATAAACAAATTGATGTCCAAATTGATTCTAGTGGGGAATCACCACATCCTTGGTATTTATAGAGCTGTTCCTGACACTTGATGCAATTGACTTTTTAAAAGGTTGACACCCTTAAATGATAAATAATAAAGACAAAAACATGAAACTTACGGGATAAATTCTGTTAGGTTGCACCATTTTTTAGAGTCCACTTTCTTCATCATCTCTTCAAAGGATTTTCCACATCTGGGCAACTTTTCTAACATGAGCGATTCATTGCAGACAATCACTTGTTGATGTGCACCTAGAACAAGTCAGATAGCACTTTAAATCCCAAGACACTGATGATAGTAGGAACATGGATGTGGAATTATTTTCTTCACAACTCTTAGCACTAACAAGGTATCACCCCTTCTATTCAAGAATCTCCGAGGACTTTACAGACATTGATGAATTTAACTTTACACACCACCACTTCGGGTTGTTATTTATTCCATTTTGTAAATGAGGAAAATGGGCACAAAGAAATTTAGGACCAAATTCAGATCTGGTGTAAGATGGTGTAGTTCCCATTGAAGTCAATGGGAATTGGGAACCACTTCTACTACAATTGAATTTAGAACATTATGAAGTGCCTCAGGTCACACAAAAAGTCTGTGCTAGAACCAAGAATAGAATCCAAGTGTTCTGACTAAAAGTCCTATGCTTTGTCCAAAAAAATCCTTCTTAGTTTATCTATAATCCAATAGATATTACAGTTAAAATAGAAAATGTTTTTATATGTTAAACCTTTAATACTCTAGATATATCAAACTATTTTACTAAGGAATAGGTTAGAACTACAGTGACTGGGCAGACAAAGGCAGCAGTAACTATGCTCATGATAACTCACAAAACCCTAAGAATTAGAAACCCTTTTTAATGAGAGGAAGAATTTTGGCCATGACACTTGGATTCGGATCTTGGAAAAGTACCATGAGATCTGCAGTTTCCAGCTGCTGCTAGAGATGGACAGTAAAGCCTCATCTGGAAGTACTACAACTCTAAATAGTGCAATACACTCCCTTCCCCACCCACTTGTGTAGAACGATTGGAATAATTAAATACAAAAAGTAATAAATCATCATTTAAATGCAGTATCATCACTGACTGTGAGCCTAATTCCTGGTGTGGGATTTGAACTCATGCATGTCCTTCTGGGCTAGAGGTAGCTAACTGAGCCACATTACCATATATTACATTGTCTTTAGGAGCCCAGCATAGAGGGAACTAACCTGTTGCATTTACGATCGTATAGTATTTCTAAGCCTTATTAGTGAAGACAAAATGGAGTGATTGACCACATAGATTTGCTTTGGGTCAGAGTATAGGTTAGGAAAGAATTTGGCAAGCTTTAACACATTAAACTAACTGTTTTGCTGTAGCTATAAAATAATATTTTTAATACCAGGAATGTTTGCACATCTCATCTACAAAGGACTTTAAAATCAATTGTCACTAATAAAAGACTGGGTAGAAGCAGATCTAGGGTGGGGTAGAAGACTCTTCTCTTCATGGGACTGGCTTAGAGGGATTGGCTAGCATTAGTTGGCACTGGTGTTATAAGCACATAGCCATGAAGAAAAGAAAATAGTTAACCTGGGCTTACACTTTTGGCAAGCCCTAAAACACCTTTGGGCCGGCACTGTTTAGGAATCTGATCTGTAAATAGGCTATTATGTATGAGAGCACTTCTACCCTGTAGAATCTCAGGAGTTTGAAATGCCAAGGCCTTCAGAGCATTAGACAAGTCTCTGAGTGAAGACAGGGGTTTACTAGCTATCAAGGTCCCAGGAGGCCTATAAGGCAGGTTGGCTGGGGCTACCCAGTAAGAGCCAAGGCCGACAGTTCTGCAGGAACATGGAATCAGACAGAGAGAGGCCTACGTGACTGGCAAGTGGATGCAGGTAGGGCTTGTGCTACAGGACCCAGTTTATTTGTATGAAAGAAGCCCAAGGGAAGGGCTAGCCAGTTGTCGGAGGAAAGTCAAGACTCACAGTCCTGAGAAGAGATTGTGTTGTTCTGGTTACACCTCAGAAAAGAGAGGATTTTTATTTGGATCTAGTCTGTAGATCAGGAAGTGGAAGACTTTCACACTTGTGCCTTTTTCCTTCTGCAGCCAGAAAAAGGAGAACTTTTATTTGGACCCTGTTTACATCACAGGAAGAGAAGGGAACCTTTGTTTTCTCTTCATTATTGAGTTACATTTCAGGAATGGGCTCCTTTCAGTGGTAGGAAGAACCTGCCACCTTGCTCCAAGAGAGATGCATTGTCTGTGATTTCAGAGAACCTGCACTCCTGCTTTCCTCTGTGGAAAAACTCTTTACTGCTACTTAACCAGGAGCTCCTTTAAGGTTGCCACTAGTTTGGATTTTTCAAATCTCTTTCATCTACAGTTATTTCAATTAACATTTGCTATAACAATAGCAAATGTTAACAATCTGGGCCTGTCACTAAGGATGTTTTACCACCAAGTCCAGGTGCTTTTTTAATTTAAAAAAGCACACACACACACACACACACACACACACACACACACACACAACCCTGTATTACAATCTTAGGCTAGGTCTACACTACCCGCCTGAATCGGCGGGTAGAAATCGACCTCTCGGGGATCGATTTATCGCGTCTCGTCGGGACGCGACAATCGATCCCCGAATCGACGCTCTTACTCCACCAGCGGAGGTGGGAGTAAGCACCGTCAACGGGAAGCCGCAGAGGTCGATTTTGCCGCCGTCCCTACAGCGGGGTAAGTCGGCTGCGATACGTCGAATTCAGCTACGCTATTCGCATAGCTGAATTTGCGTATCTTAAATCGACCCCCCCCTGTAGTGAAGACCTGCCCTTAGATGCTGTGTCAGACAGGAACATTACTAAATGAGAATGGCATGGTTATTGCAGTCTTCAGTTGTTGGGACTTTGATCATGGATCCATCTGTAACAGGATGCATATAGTTTAGAGTCTTAAGACTCAGGTAAACAGACTGATTTCAGCTAAGACGGGGCTGTTCTTAATTACAAAAAGGAATATCTTCACTGAGAATGAAAAGTATATTTGTGTAACCCCCGGGTGTGTGTTACAGGTCCCCCATCCATAGATGATAGGTGTTTCTTACAGTGGCAGCTAGAGATATTGGTTCTTTAGCTCCAGTTGTAGCAGCTCATTGTTTTAGCTCTGGAGGTTCCTTGTTCAGTCCCAAGTGTGCAGCCAAGATGGTAGCATTACATTTTCTCACAGCACTGCATTGCTTTCCAAGCACTTTCAAACAGTGACAGCACTGTCGTTCCTATCCCACTTCTTTCACCACCTTCAGTTATCAAAGAAAGATTGCTAAGGCTTTGTCTGCATTAGAAAAATTCAAACCCATCATTTATCACTGGTGGTAGTTATTGTAGAAGCTGTGAAGCTGAGTTTAGGATTTTTACTCTTTTTTCATATAATTCTGCTCTGATCGGGGTTAGACAAAATGGTGGTAACAAATGCCTGAGCCCTGTCTACACTAGTATTTCCACTTTTCCAACCATCTGTGGCGCAGCACTGGTGGTAAATCGTGCATCAGAATTTTGCTAATGTTGATCAACACTAGCCCTGAGCAAACTCAAAAACTGATGTGACAATATGTGTCTGGCAACCGGAGATCAGCAGTGATGTGTTCACTAAATCTGTGGGGTGGGAGAGCGCTAGAGGCAGGGTATTCTAAGTGGGGGGAGTCTAATTTGAAAGACAATTCATTTTTTGATGTGATAAAACCTAAATTTGTTGATTTTTAGGCCACAATACAAAATCTAGCTATTTACTCAGATTCCGAAGTGGGCTCCATTTTTCTTTTTCGTAGACTTGGATTTTTTGGTTGGCTTTGTTCAGAGATTAAATATTTTTACTTGTGTGATTTAAAGAAAAAATGAATAGAGCCTGATGAGTGCATATCTTCTAAAACTAAAGGGACACAACTCATGAGAGAATCTGATCACACAGTCGTTTCAGTCTGATTCTCTGACCACAGCTTTTTGATTCTTAAGTTTCTTAGCTAAATCGGACCCAAAGAGCATTTTAAAGTTTTCCCATCACTATCTAAACTGGTTAAAGACTAGGACATATTGAAAAACCCGCAGATATATTCCAAATTAAAAGCAAACTGCTAATGGACAAAAGTGTCTAGAGTTGACTAGCTGAACCTACTTATGTTGTGGTTTTGTGTGTGTGTGTGTGTGTGTGTGTTTTTTAAAGGGCTCTCATTAACAAAAAAGTAATATATGTTTGAACTTTAAAAAGCTCACCTGTAAATCCAAGTGTCATTAGACCATTAACTAGAAGGGAAAAAAAGAAGAGACTGATTAGAATTTCTTGGTTTTATTCCAGCATGATGAAAATTTGTGTAGTATTAGATCTAATGCATAAGTAATCTTGACCACAGTTAACGATTCAACAGAACATTCCAAGTCACTACATGCCCTAAGTACTGTCATAAGGGTTTATTTTGATTAGAAGTGGGAAGATTAACGTTTGCTCAACATTTATTTTAAAAGAATCACCTCTTATCTGTCTTTTAATCTGCACAAATCACACAGGCTTTTTAGGGAACTAAGTGAGTAACTTCATGCAGATGACTATGTTCTGCTCTCATTTACACCCTGTGCAATACCACTGAAGTCAACTGGATTGCACAGTGTGGGAGGTCCGAATATGGCTCAAATTGCATAGATGCAAATTCTATCTTAGTTAATATATGCCCAAACCCCAGTCCATTCAATGAGAATTGTTGTGCACCCATATCTAAGAAGAATTCAGCCCCTACTATGGAATAAACTTTTATGATGGTCAAGTACAAACTTCTATTGGACAAGAATTTACTAGAATTCTGCAGAATAGGAATGCAAGTATCAGGATGCTTTGATAGCATAAGGATGTGAGTTTCAACTATACACCTAATAGTTGTATCTATTTTGTAAAAGCAGTACATATTTTTCAAGTCTGTCAATGTAATGGTAAATGTAGTGGATTCCCCACCAACTTTTTTAAATCTACATTTTCAAATGTGCTTTATCAATTGCAGGCAACTGTGTTATGAAGTTAAGTAAACATTTTCTGGGAAGGATAAAACTACCCACTCCCAAGCAACCAAAGTTTTGATGTACAACCACAAGTTCACCCCTACAATTCCTGATTTCCTCTGGAAATCTTACATTACACTTCTTTATAAATTTCTATCAAGGATCTCCAAGTATTTTGCAGTCATGAGTGAAGTATTCCTCACGTTACCATTGCGAGGTAAGTCAGAACTTAGCTTGCCATAAGAAAACAGGTAAAGGAGGTAAAAATTTATCCACATTTTACATGTGGGATAACCAGAGCAGAGAGAGGTTAAGTGACTTTCTCAGTGTCATATAGGAGGACTGTGGCAAAGCCAGCAATGGAACACAGCTCCTGGCTCTCAGTCTCATGTTTTAAACAAGACCATCAGTCAAATGAAAAGGAACTTCAAAAATGCTATTAATCTTACCAAAAGAAAGTAATACGGGAAGTCTCACAAGATAGATTGGTTTTGTGCCTATTCTCAACCAAAAGTCTGAAAATGTTCATGTAAGACCCCAAACCTCCAAACCTTTTGAAATTCACCTTTTATTGACTTAGCAACATCATGTATGCCTCTCTTGACAAAGATTTAACTAGGAGACCATAACGGGACACGATTGACGATTTTCTTGTGATTCAACATCATGCCATTCTTTTAGGAAGGGCTGATTCCAGTATTCCACTTAAAAAAAACCTACTAATTAATTGACTATTAAATTCATTTAGATAATACATATAGCTACAAGTAAAGTGTAGTTACAGTGTTGAAAGATCCTGTAGTATTTCACTAGTAAATGATCATGAAGATACATTCACAAACATTCTTAATTGAACCAATAGTTGAAAAAAGAGGTTAAGATTGAACACACCAACTGGCTGCTGGTTTAATCACAGATGCCACCAAGTTTTATTTTCTACATATATAAATAGAAGCTACAGTGGTTACCAGTAAGCAGGACAGAAATTGGAGGCTAAGGGGAATTGGAGATGGGGCTAAAGCTACAGGACAGAGGGGGTGGGAAGTGGCAGCAAAACCATCTCTACTGATGGTCATAGCATCTCTTTGCATCAGGAGTCAGTATTGCACTGATCTGCAGCTCCAGTGCCCCCTTTAGCTACTTCCTCTGTGCTGCGTAGGCTCATCCTTTGTCTGTGTTCTGTGGCCCAGTCCTCTTGTCAGATGATTCTCCAGTCTCATTCCCTCCTAAGAGATCAAAAGTCCAACAGCACAAGCTCCAATCAGCCATCAACAAAAACGGCCTTCTGCCCCTCCCTAGGGCTATGTTAAGATCCCCTCACTTCCTTCACAGTCCTCCCTCAGGACTTTCCTTACAAGAGCTTCTCTTCTTCCCTGCAGAAGAAGCCTGACTTCTCTATAATCTCCCCCTCAACTGAGCTCCCTTAGATTGCTTATAAGGCTCAGGTACCTAATGGATTATCACCTAGTTCCACCCCCTCTGGCCAGGAGGCAATCAATCAATCACCCCACAGTTTCAGAACACGCCTCTAATTGAGGATTTTTTCCCCCTTCTCTAGCAAATCATGGGAGAAACCTGATCACAGGCAGGTTTGGAGATGCTGAGGTGTTGTAAAAGAAAAATGACAGAGGAGGGAGACAGGAGAAAGTAATAAGCAATAAGGAAACAAGTGTTCTTTTATTACCACACATTTAAAAATCATCTGCATCAAGGCTTTGTTTTCACTGCCAAAAAAGGGTGTGTTTTTACTGTGGGATGAGTGATGTGCATCCTACTGTAAAATCCTAGTGGAGACAAGACACTGTCGTTTTTACAATGATGTAGGTGAGGTCAACACTAGATCCCACCTCCCCACCCCATGATTGATCTTGCCTATTTACCTCATAGTTAAACTACTAGAGTGCCTTATCTTTACTAGGATTTTACAGCAGGGCAGCTAATGCACATGGTAAAAACACGTCTTTCTGGCAGGGAAGGCATACCCCCAGAATGAGCTCCGATTCTCAGAGCTGCACCGTGGACTTTTATTGCACACACTGCACTCTGATCTTGTACACAGAATTCCTACTGATGTCGACATGAGTTTTATACTGGGATCTAGGGCAATATAGAAAGTAACAGTGTGGATTCACAAGTGGAGAATTTTTGCCCTATAATCATGAAAGTGAGGCTATAATCACTGGGTCCTGGTGACATAGCATAAATTGTAAGAATGAACCATGAGCAATTTGTCAATCACTAGAACTCCATCATGGGAGTGTGGTTTTATTAAGTACTGGCTTTTTTTCCCCACAGTATTATTTGTATAGTACTTCAATTGCCATATAAATTTAAAATAGCATTTGGACGCTCTAATGTCAATATCTACTAAAGGTGCCCCAAAACACTTTTCAATAATGACCTTCATACTTTTTGAAAGTTCATAACAGAGAATGTTATTCTGATATTTCCCTCTTGCCTAAATATTTCTTCAGGAAGCTGCAATTTCTGTCAAGACTCAATGATTTTAGAGAATTACATATTTCCCAAAGGATGTGTGAAGTACCTCTTGTTTTATCTGGCTTGCGTATGCAGTTCTTTCCTCAATAATCGTAGCATTGGAATACCCTGTATAGTGTGTCCTGTGGCGTATCAACACTAGTCTTCAAAATTTGTCTTTGCCACTCCAAAAAATTACTTTCTCTTCAATCCCATTTCTCATTAACTGAAGGACAGAAGCAATTTTATTTCCCTATTCTTCTTTTATCACAGAAGTTTTAGTATATTGCTATAACTTCTTATATTTATTCCACTTTAATTCCCAAAAGATTCCAAAGCATTTGACAAGCACGGATACAAACATATTCTACACACAAGTGAACTTTAGAAACCAATGAGATCCCTTTATTCAGTACTGAAATGCAGCTACATCTGGACTGAAATTAGCAATGTAATATTGCACAATAGAACTAGTATAGGACTAGAGGTGAAGAATCGAGGTGTAAATGACTCCTACTAAATCACCATCTGACACTTCCCAAAGAACCCATAACTTCCCTGGTGCCGTCCTATCCAAGTACTGGCCTGGCACCACGTAGTTTGTAAGAACAAGCAGGATTACAATTTCAAGTGACGTGGCTACAGGCCAAGAGTTATTTCTGATTTGTAAGACATAAGCTATGATACAGTGTTACAAAATTCTGTTGCTTCCCCTCTATAATATATATAATATACCATTATCCCCATATTATCTTAATGCTAAATGCTAAGAAGACTGGCCTTACATTAACAAGTAGGTATGCAGCATGCCGTATATTTAAATTTTTGTAAGTAATTAAACATTAAATTTATCTCTTGAGCATTTAGTGTTCAATATACAAAATTTAGTTATCTATCCTCTTACTTAAAAGTACATAGATTCTTAGATTTCAAGGCCAGCAGGGACCATTGTGATCATCTAGTCTGACCTCCTGTAGAACACAGGCCATAGAACTTCCCCAAAATAATTCTTAGAATGTATCCTTTAGAAAAACATCCAATCTGGATTTTAAAATGGTCAGTGATGGAGAATGCACCACAACTCTTGGTAAGTTGTTCCACTGGTTAATTACTCTGACCTTTAAAAATGTACACCTCGTTTCATGAATTTTTCCAGCTTCAACTTCCAGCCATTGGACCAGCTTATACATTTCTCTGCTAGACTGAAGAGCCTATATTAAATATTTGTTCCCCATATAAGTACTTATAGACTGTAATCAAGTCACCCCTTAACATTCTCTTTGTTAAGCTAAATAGATTGAGCTCCTTGAGTCCATCACTCAAATCTAATCTTTTAATCAATCTGGTGGCTCTTCTCTGAACCCTCTCCAATTTATCGACATCCTTCTTGAGTTGTGGATCCCAGAGCTAAACACAGTATTCCAGCAGCAGTAACACTACTGCCAAATACAGAGGTAAAATAACCTCTCTACTCATGCTTGAGAGTCCCCCATTTATGCAGCCAGGAATCACATTAGTCCTTTGGGGTCACAGCATCACACTAGAAGCTCATGTTCAGCTGATTGTCCACCTGGACCCCCAAATCTTTTTCAGAGCCACTGCTTCCCAGGACAGCATCACCCAACCTGTAAATATGGTCTACATTCTTTGTTCCCAGATGTATACATTTACATTTAGTCATATTAAAAAGCATATTGTTTGCTTGGGTCGAGCTTACCAAGCGATCCAGATCACTCTGTATCAGTGACCTGTCCTCTTCATTATTTACCACTCCCCTA